AAAAATACTAGTGTATATCTAGGTGTTTGCTGCTGGCACCTATGTATATGCGACTTAGAGCACAAAAGGGTATGTTCTCAGAACACTGCAGAGAGGTCTGGATGCGATTGAGATGCAGTGTGAGTGCTGGAACAAAAGAAATGAAATTTTATGTCAAGAGACATCGGTTGAGTGTCATCTGATATTGAATGGAGGAAGAACGCCCTTCGTGAGTCATGTACATCTGTATATTTTTTCGGTAAGAGGATTAGATGTGGAAATGATCTAAGCCAATGCCGTCACAACATTTATTAGAGCATGTCCTTCATTGAAAAGCGAGCGATTAAGCTCTAAGATGAAATATGCCATCCTCAGAGCATTATTTATGTCTGTGATGTTGTATGCTTGCCTTGGGATTTGTGGCAAATACCCAAGTTTCGAAAGTGCAGCAATTATTGATCAAGGTTCTCGCAAAAACACCAATATCCCAAGGCGTAGAGCGGTCAGGAACCACAAGCCACAGAAGATGGTGAAAATGCAAATATTCAGAATACTGGATAAGGTGAAGCCCGACAGAACAAAAGGCTTTAATTTTGCGGCGGTGAAGCTTACAATGTGTATGATCGTTGAGGTGACTAAATTTCCGGTCTAGCGTGAGCTAATGAAAATAAGGCAGAATCTGTTGTGAACTGATGGGGCTTATATAGTATATTGCCAATAAAGCCGTGTGCAGTATATATGTATAGTTGTAGAGGTCGTGACATGTAGTTTAGAGGAGGAAGGAACAAAATAGAAAGTAATTGACTGTGACAAGTAAGAAGGGATAGGCCCGTCTTGTCACCAGAAAGGATTCCTATTAAAGGTCAAACAGTGAAGCTTACTTCAAGACTAACAAGATCTACTCAAGAGCGTCTGAATGGGATCTAATTTAAGAGAAAGTGACTGGCAAACCGTCAGTCGTAAAATGACTTTGAAACGAAGCAAGAAGTAAAGAGGAATTTTGCAGAAACGAAGCGGTAGGATATGTGGAAGACGAAGGCGAATATTTGTCATAACCATGGTGGGCCTTTGGTAAGGCACTGGTGTATGGTTTAGAAATTACGTGGTTGGAAGTCATGACTATTTTTGTGAAAAAAAAAGAATGCAATAAATTTGTGCATGTAGGAAGCAAGTGGTACTATATGAGGAAGGTGAAGATAACAAATTTGTATAGATCTGGTGGTACGTGGGAAAAACATTGACGAAGTATTGGGAAAGTACGGGGTTCGAGACCACGGTGTCTTTTGCCAATAGAAATTGAAAAGCGAATAAATAAATACGATTTTTCTGCAGCTATAAACCAAGTCATATAATATAAGGACGATCGCAGAAGGCTATATCATAGATGTTCTGGTGGTCTAGAGGTAAGGCACCGGCGTTGTAAATATACAGTTCGTGGTTCGAAAACAGAAGTATTTTTGTAATGAGATTTTTATGGAATTATATAGCGACATATAACATAAGAGGAAGATTAAAGACAAAAAATTTCCGTGGCATCGGTGGCCTATTGGTAAAACACCGGCGTAGTGAACAAGAGTTTGAAGGTTCGAAACCAAGTATAGTTTTGTGATTTAGAAAGTAAGTTAATTGATTTTTCTGGAATTATAACCGAAGATGTAGCTTAAGAGGAAAATAAAAGGAAATAAATTTCAGTGGTGCTGGTGGTCTCGGGGTAAGACATCAGCTTAGTGTTCAGAAGGTCCCGGGTTCAAAACCAGTAGGATTTTTGTAAAAAAAAAATTAAAAGAAGAAAACCAACAGCAGTGCAAGACGTGAAGAGATAAGAAGGTGGGGGAGCGGAGGAGGGTAGATTTTTTGCTTTTTTTTTTTT